AAAAAAAAAAGTATTTATCTCGCTAGATATCTTGTATTCCTATGTAAAATATTGCCAATCATTTGTATGATTTTGTCCTTGTTTTCATTTGAAAAAAAAAACTGTGTCTACGTATGGACCGAGCTCAGATCAGATGAATAACTCCGCACAACATTCAACTATCAATAAGTACATTCTCTATGCACAGATGTTCATACGTACGGCAACATGCTTCGATGAGTTCAACTAAAAATCACAAGATAAAAGTAAAAGTGATTGAGAATTTCTCTGTTACTCAATCGAACAATGTTAAATGTTGCCTCTGGAAAATTATGTATATAAAATTTATAAATAAAAATAGATTTCCTTCAAACTGTATTTAGAATAAAAATCCATATAACCAAATTAGGCTTTAAATCTAATCTCAATAAGATTAAAATCTAAATAAACTCTATTTTGAAATTTTGGCCTCGAATTACCAAATTTATATAAAATTCAATAAAATTATCATCTGAAATTGAGCTCATCAAATGAACTCAATATAACAATATTTTAAATTTAGCTTAAACTAAATTAAATTCAAAATACATAACACATAAGTCATGGAAATGCTTAATACGGTTCTCAAAAGTTGACTCCATAATATTATGGATCATATGTAAATAATTTCAACATAAATCCAATCATAATGTATAGAAAGCCTAGTATGTCCCAAATTAGTCTTGACCTTATCGAATGTGAATTATGTCCACGCAACATAGAACCAAGTTCAAATGTCTAGATTTTAAACTAGAAAAACAAATTTTAGCCAAAGAAGGTGAAAAGTAAATGTCCATTTAAGCTCAATCACACTCATAATTTAACCTAAAATAAAATATAACAAAAAGAAGGCAGAATAAGAATTCAACATTTTATTTTATCTTCTTTAATGAAAGACCAATAAACTTAGTCCCTCATGTTGATTTAAAACTGACGTAAGAAAAATTAGTTTTAAGATCAACCATTATATACTCAAGAAAAACACTTATGGCATAATTTTTATGATGGAATGATATGAGAATGGAATGGTAATTCACTTAATCATTCCTAATCTCACTTTTGGTATACTTTTTAGTATGGAGTGACTATTTCAATAGGAACTTCAAAACCTATCTTCATGGGATTAGCCATTTCCTAACCAATCCATAGTTTTCTCATTCTCATATCTTTTGAATTTATTTCTATAAAAAAATTAAACTAAAAAAATAAAGTAAAAATAAATATATAATATATAATATAAAATCATGATTAAATTCTATTAGAAAACTTTTACTTAAAAAAATTCAAATAAATAATTAAAAATAATTATATTTTTATTTATTATTCGTATTTTACATAGATATTTGAAATACATATATAAAAATAAATTTTGCAGGAAATGAATTTATAAATATTTTAAAAAGATCTTATTTTTATTTTTATGTAATCATATATATTATATATTTACTCATAAATTAAATTAAATTATAAATTATTATACACAACTGCATATGCTTATAGTGGTTTAAGTAATTATATATTTATATAAACAAGTGATATATTACTACAACATAAATGACTTTAGGTAACACCATTTATGGTAATACTTTACAAATTATTGGTTTATGTATTATATTATTGTAACACTTTTAAAATAAGTGTTAGCAAAAATTAGCAAAAGTATCATATAAGTGTTACCAAAAATATTACCTTTGACTTTAGGTAGCACAAACAACTACAGCGTCAATATTGTGTTACCTATTGTATATAGGTAACATTTTATAGTTTTTACGTAACATTTTATAGCTTTTACGTATCATTTCTTTGGTGCTACCTAAAACCATTTATGTTGTAGTATAGGTTAGTTGTGTCTAGTTGCTAGATTTAGTTGTCTTATGTTACTAGGTTAGTTATGTCTAGTTGCTAGTTCAGTTGTCTGTTGTTGGTAGGTTATTTCTATCTTGTTACTAGGTTTTTTTTTATTTTTTTATTTTTTTGAATAGAAGAAAAAGATAGGAATTAATTTCAACGACGAAATTCCATAGCAGTACGCTAGAGTTTTAACCTTAAGCCATGACATGACCAAATCCTTAGCAGCATATATAATATTAATTACATTTCCGAAGGAAACAGAAATGTAAGTAAACAATGTTTTACTTTTCCAGCTAAACTGCAAAAGCAAGCATTGAGTTCACTTGGCAACAACATTTTGAGATTGAGTGTCCTGCTGTTGTTGATAGTTTAAAGGCCTCCTAAAGAGCATAATGTGCGGTTCTGGCCGGTGGATTGCATAGTGAACCCACCCACGGCTTTGCTGAACACCAATTCCTCGCCATTCATTTTCTAAGAGAAGGCGATTCTTGGGAAGCAGTTTGGCAACATCCGGAGGAAGAACGACATGCCTGTACTCGTAGGTATCATCAAAGTATTTGTCAGAATACTGAATCTGACCCATAACGGATTGTCTACAGCCGCAACTTTTTGTAGCAATGGAGCTTGTTCTCCGATGAGCAAGTTCTATCTTGTTACTAGGTTAGTTATTTCTAGTTGCTAGGTTAGTTGTCTGTTGTTGCTAGGTTAGTTCTATCATATTGCTAAGTTAGTTCTAAGTAGTTGCTAGGTTAGTTTTAAGTAGTTGCTAGGTTAGTTGTCTCTTGTTGGTAGGTTAGTTTTCTATTGTTGCTAAGTTAGTTAAATGTAGTTGCTAGGTCAGTTCAATGTAGTTGCACGGTTAGTTGTCTGATGTTGCTAGGTTAGTTATGTCTAGTTGCTAGGTTAGTTGTGTCTAGTTGTTAGGTTAGTTGTCTGTTGTTGCTAGGTTATTTCTATCTTGTTGCAAGGTTAGTTATGTCTAGTTGCTAGGTTAGTTGTCTGTTGTTGCTAGGTTAGTTCTATCTTGTTGCTAAGTTAGTTCTAAGTAGTTGCTAGGTTTTTTTTTCAAACAAACAACGCCCCGGAAGGGCGAGGGATTGGGCTGGATCCCCAACCTGTGCATAGATTAAGACCCCAAAACGGGGACCCAAAATATCAACAAACTACAGTCTACAGAGTCTCACAAGCAAAACAAAAAAACAAAAAAGAAATAACAAAACAAAGTCTGTCTTCGGGCTAACAATAAACCTAATCTAATGAAAGCAAGAAACCTAATCTAATGGAAACAATAAACCTAATCTACTGAAAGCGAAACGATGGATATCCAAGCTGGTCCGTCCGGGCTAACAGGTGCCCGGAATAAAAGTCTAATCTAATGAAAGCAATTAACCTAATCTAATGAAAGCAATAAACCTAAGTAGTTGCTAGGTTCTTTTTTTTTTTTTTTTTTTTTTCCCCGGAAGGGCGGGGGATTGGGCTGGATCCCCAACCTGTACATAGATCAAGGCCCCAAAGCCGGGAGCCCAAATATCAACGAGCAAGATACAAAAGTTTACAGAGCAATAGACCTAAGTAGTTGCTAGGTTAGTTTTAAGTAGTTGCTAGATTAGTTGTCTGTTGTTGCTAGGTGAGTTTTCTATTGTTGCTAGGTTAGTTAAATGTAGTTGCTAGGTCAGTTAAATGTAGTTGCAAGGTTAGTTGTCTAATGTTGCTAGGTTAGTTGTCTTTAATTATTCTTTCATACATGATGCATACTAAGGTAAACGGGTCAACACCGGAAATCAACGGTCAACGCTGGAAGTCAACGCCAGAGTCAACTACTAATTATTTTTATTATTCAATTAATGTATATTTTAATTGATTAACATAAATTCTTGATCTAGACAAAATGAGTGGCTAAGATTGAGTCTCACGTCCACATTTTAAGAAGTGGACTCATTAAATATTATATATATATATATATATATATATATATCACTTGTTTATTATATAAGATCAGTGTAATAATATAATAAAAATTATTAAAAATATTGCATATTTTTTATATAAAATAACATTAATATTATCATAAATAAGAAGATAACATTAATATAAATATTGAAATTACATATTTTGATAAAACACTGATAAATAATAATATAGGATAATAATAACATTTCATTCTTGTCATATCATACTAAATATATCAATGAAAAAACTTGTTCATTTATTTCCCATAGTCATTCCATTATTCAACTCATTACATTCCTATCAAATTCTAGTCCATCATACCATTCATGTCATTATGAAATGATTGATATGAGCAAATGATATGAGAATGGAATTAGGACAATTTAAGGTTATCAAAATATATTGATTAGGCTACATAGAAGAATCACTAACAATTTACCATACATATTTACTCCACTATTAAGATAACATTTTAATTAAAAACAAAAAGGAAAACATGAATCGGATTAACTTTTGCTGTGGTGAAGTGTAGGTTTCGCTATGGTAGTGCTTACATTTGGCTAGGTCTAGTGAAAGGAATTAATATATACTATGTGAGAGTTGTCACATTTTTATGTTGGAAATATAAATTGTTTATGTCATTCTTGCAAAGCAATTTGTCTCTATAACAAATATGAGTAGCTAGCAAGACTCTTCATTAATGTAAAACCTTCAAAATTAGTCGGACTAAGCATCTGTATTTATATTGAGATGATTAATTTGACAGATCTAGCTGACTTCAAATGAAATCCAACTAAGATAGATCTAAAATAGATCTTTCCTAAGAAGCTCAAATTATCGAATTAATCGAAACTCGAAATCCCTAAACGTAAATCAATTTCGATGGAAAATCAATTAATGTACATGTATATATATATAGACAAAAACGCGAAATCGCTGAACAATCGACATCATAAATGGGAAG